ATATAATAGGTAAAGCTTCTTACGTCAAGTTGAGAATCCATCGACCTCTTGGTTCTCTTTTCGTTGGAAATCTTTTCAGGAAATACGACTTCATAGCTTGTATCATCACTATACTCATTTAGTCCTAGAAAAAAAAATGGATTAGATTTCAATCACTTTGTACTTAAATCACGATTATAAAATAAAAKAAATTGTATTGAAGATATTTTCTTGTGTGGGGGATTTTTGACCAAGTGGCAATTATATATTAGTCATTTTCGGGAACCCAGGAAAAGTGTGAGGAACAAACGACAGAATAACCGTGGGGTTCCCGAGGATGGTCATTAGTGCAATTCATCTAAGCATACCTGAAGCGCATCCAACTTGACCATAKGGAGTCAGCAGACTGAACAGCAGGCCTACCAAAAACCCTACAAAAAACAGTGCTTGGTATTTCCTGGTATATTTTTACGTCAAGAAACTTATGACAAATATTAGAAGTCTCCTTCGCAGCTTATATATCATTTTGTTCAGCTTTGGGAAGGAACAAGAATACCCAAGGACACAAGAAACTAATATAGAATTTTTAAAAGTTTATTTCGGATCACAAGGTTAATTAATGGTCAAACGTACGTGGATTAGTTGTAATGATTCCGAATCGTTTATTTAAAGGGAATTATCAATGCCTATATGTACGTCATATTTTCGTCAGTTATGGTCGTTACCACCTGAAAGTTTTACACTGCTGAGCATTATAAACAGATTGTTGGCGCGGTAAGCCGGATTGATAGCTTTAATCTGGGATGAAGATGTCTTTGGAGGTCATGCAATCCGGTTAATGTCTAAAATCAACGTTTATTACAACGAAATCCGGTTTGTAAATCTTTACATAGTAACTCAAACCTCAGTTGTTCACTAGCGATGTTATATTTCATAGAGACGTAGACGGCTTAAAAAAATGATTTTATAAAGTTCTATTTCGGACACCTTAGGTTTCTTGTCACGGCGTGACGACTGGCTCCTGCTCAAAGTTTTCGATGTACTAAATGAGCGGTAGTTTTCAAATGTACAAAAAAAATCCCCAAAATAGTATCTAAGTAATGAAAGACTATTTCAACTTTATTAGCAATCTAAAGCGATTCATATTACAACTTTTTATTTCAGGCACGTTTATTTTTTTTGTTACACGCTGCTCAGACTCCAAATTCGGCTCCCGCTCAAAGTCTTCGATGCACTAAATAAGTGGGAGTTTTCAAATATACGAAAAAATAAATAAACTTAACTAAAATACAACCGAAAGAGAAAACACCGTCAATCAGGTATTGCGGTAACAGGAACTAAGAACACAAACCGATATTTTTAACATTTTTTGCTGGGGATGATTTACTTGTGATTATGGTCGAGGTCTAACGCCTGGTCTTGACGTCTGTTGCCTGCGTGACTGCGTCAATAGCGGCTGCGTCACAGTCTTGGACTAAAAGAATTCTCAAATGACGTCGATGTTTTAGACGCTCGTTTTATACACTGAATATGAAGTAAGCTTTACTTCAGTACATCACACTACTGTTATAGTTATATSGCTGCTTGTCTACATGCTAGAGATSTACATGACCTCTAATACATAGTGTTCGGATTTGTGTTGATAAGAAACACATATATAAGTTCACGAAATTSTGTAGACATAGCTGAATACGCTAATATTTTCTTAGCATAGCRTATAYAGAGTCAAGTTTGAACGTTAARCGTATCTGTAAGCCTGTTTAAGCACATAAAATGTACGCGCTTGCCATTTTTGCAACATTCGACCGTGTTGCTTCTCTTTTATCGTAGGCATGATGCAATGCTACCAAAGAAACTTTACCCAGAATCCACCTACCTTGCGTCCAATGCATTTTAGATGACAGCAACCTCACGTTTAACTCGAGTTTACGTTTACCACAATAGATATAACCGTGGAAGTCATAAACTTTATAAGGGGTTTACGTAAATGAAATACGAGTAAGCTTAAGAGATGATCCAGAACTCCAGCGGTGATGGTATTGTTTTATCACCGAGATGTATTTTGATACCAGTAAATGGTTTACCAAATGACAAAGTTAAACTCTTCAGATTACAAACTAAAAGCCACATTAATCAARACAAAGTTAAAGCTACTTTTGTTGTACAGACCATAGCACTGCAAGCTGTGCCAGGGCTGCATTTTTTGAATTTCTCGTTCCTCTCTGAGCAACGACGGACGGGCGACAGAGGATCACCACTGGGAATGATTGATTTGTTATCGGCAGAATTAATCAAACATCCGGGACATGGAGAAGTCAGAAGACCGCCATTGTATATTTAAACAACAATACCTGTCCAARTCAAAAAAGTTAACCCGGATTTAGAAGARGTATTTAATGCCCATAATAGCAAAGCGATTACGATTGAGAGCAAAAATTAGCAATACAGTCAACTCTCGCTATTACGGACACCCCCAGGACCGTAATTTATTGTCCGAAGTAGCGAGGAGCAGTCCATAATAACGGGAGTTACTTCGAGGCATTTCTTTGTATCTTTCGCCGGGGATTCAGTATTTCGTGTCCGTAATATCGAGGTGTCCGTAATAGCGGGCCGGGCTGTCCGTAAGGCGAGAGTTGACTGTATGAGGAAGAAATTAGTATTCTAGTACCGCTGAGGTAAGTGTCAACTTGGCGCGCAAAGTCTGCTACATGGTGAATAACATTTYGARCTTGKRCGATCGACTTCTTATCTAATCTACACTGGCGTACAAATCCTCATCTGAGTCCAAAGTCTCACACACATTATCATAYACATATATGGGGTTATCATCAGACACCGTGACGCCACTCGGGACATCAATGACGTCATTACCACCTTTCATCTCAGGGAACAATTTACTCTGATCGTTATCGTCTCGGATTTCCATCGGCGTTTCGTCGGAATCACTTCGTGGGACGTATCCAAGTGGTTCAAGGTATCCGTATTCTCCGGAAACTGCTCGAGGCACTTCTCCATGCGATTCGATATATCCGTACTCTTCCGAACCCACCATCGGGCTGCGTTCGACAGCTTTGCTGTATTCGGGATCATCTTCGGGCAAGCATTGCAGGGGCTCAAGGTAAAAATCACTTTGTACGGAAAAACTTCTTGGTTTGTTGGATGATGGAGACTCGTCAGGAAAGTATGCCGCGTTTTGGTAGATTTCCTGGTCATCGCTTGATTCATGATGGGTCGTTTCCTGGCCATCGGTACCAACGGTTGTTGGTCTGGTAATGGTGCTACATTGGGAAACTATCATTTCACTAGAAGAATAAGATTTTTTTATTAGCTTGCCTTCTTTCTCAGTGCTTTTGTATTTAATTATTGCCTAAGCTTTTGTATTTAATTATTGCCTGAATGGATGACTGTTGACTCGAAAGATTACACTATTTCGATCAGCCAAACACAATACTTTATATTTACAAATGCACAAACATGATGTAACTCAGTCAGTTTTCTGTCGTTTTCTGTAAATATTACTCAGTTATTACGTGTGTTAATAAAGTTGCCATTTGAACTTAAACCTCTTCATTTCTTCACATGACGTTGGTGTGAGACTTTGAAAAGCTTTCGATTTATGTGTAATAACATGGCTACCATATTTTTTGTTATTTATTTTGTGTAGTTGTTTGCAGTCCATGTGATGGCAAACCGAGTTGTAATCTGCTTTTCATAAATCCGTGAAATACACTTTACCGTACTGGCACTTTATTKCTCTATATTTCACATGTTGTCTCTTAATCTTTTTGGTGTATCACACACTATTGAACCTGCTWCCCTTTGTGTKAAGACCTAATTAAAAGCCCTCGATAAACTAAAGTAGTATAGTGCCTTAAACGTATGATTCGTTTTTCTAATATWATTGACATTGAAGAGACAAAAGAACATTCTCTTTCTCTTACCAGTCGTAAATGCCGTTAACAGCCATGTCAGGACTGTAAGATAAAATTCATTTAATTTTAAAACTAAAAATTAGATTATTACGAGTGTCAGCATGAAAAATTTTCTTCAAAAAATAATAATTGACAATAGGCTCACCTTAGCTCTACCTTGTCAACCTTTAGCTTTCCATTTCTACAAAGACAAAAACGTACAGCATATTATTATATCTGGAGCGACGCCATTTTGAATCCCATCATGCTTTGCTATACAAAATGGCGTCCTTGCACATTGCCTACTGAAGTGTGGTGAAACTGTAGCAGTTATGAGGTGTATCATTCAATAAATATTGACAATATCAACTGTTTGTCAATGGCATGGTAGCCATGTTGGTAATACAATAGTAGCCTATTGGTTCCACCGACATGGGTGACAGATCTTTTTGAAAATCAATAGTCAATAATAAAAAAATCAATAATAGAGGGCTAGAACTCCATAATAAACCAACCTGTTTCGACAGCGATACCAAATATCGATCATAACAACCACAACAACGATAAAACAGGCCAGCGGTATCACTATGAGAATGACCGTGGAACTGCTTTGGCAAGCAGATGCTTTGGCAGGAGCATGCGTACTTGTCTCGTTTGGTTGCGGCGATTTCACTGTTGTTATACTAATGACATGTTCAGTGGTGTCAGGACGTGATGTGGGTCTTGTTGGTGTAGTTGTAGTCGTTATAAAGAGCTCTTTGATTTAAATGTGAAACGTTAAATCAGTAAATTGTGTAAAAATGTCTTCGTCATAAATCAAAGAATTGTATGTCATTCGTGCGGGTTCCCTGTGCTTTTTARTTTTGGGCTTCCTTTAGCAAATCCATGCCATATATGGAAACAAACAAAATGKCTGATTGTTGCGAAGTGTTTTTTCAAGCTTTAAAAGTTGAGAAAATCGACAAAAACCATTCCTATCGTACTTCCAAATAAGGTAAGATTACCATATATAGCTGCTAAACGAAGGACAACTTTTGTGGGGCAATTCTTTGCCTAATTTAGATGCACAAAAGAATATAAACAACAATACAAAATAAGAAAGCAAAATAAATCTTATCTGAAATAGTGAAAAGAAAGCTTGCTCTWAACTCAGAACATATATTGAATATATATTCCAATGAAAATGTAATATTACAAACTCCCTATATATAATGAACACAAGTGCACTGTATTTTATTGGGCTCCAAATTACAACCTATTYTTTGATGCATTGCTGTATTAGAACATCATTTTGTATTTTAACCCTCCCTTCCCTGACACCTTACCTTCTGTCGGGACTATAACGTACTCAGCACGGAATCCATAGCTATTAAACTTCTCGTTTGTGCGAAACACAAACATGACGTCATTTGAATGTGACGTCACRACTTCGGGTACGTCATCTCCATGGTAACGATAGACTAGACTGTAGCTCTCATTGACCWTGACGTAGTGTTCCAAACTATCGTTGCTGTGAAGGTCGAATGMTGTGAATGWTACTTTGATGGTGTAGTTGGAAGGCACACTTATTTTCCAGGCACAAAGTTGACCATCCGTGTAGTTGTTTGGATATCCAGGAGACTGGAAACTA